TTTTTGCAGTTTTATTCGTCATCAAAGATTAAAATGTATTTTATATAAACCCAGGCCTACTGTCAATGCTGCCTATGTATTTAGCAGTTTAGGGATTGTTAAGATGACAGCATGTGGGTTGAAATGGATTACAGTAAAAGGGGGCAGATTATTTTTTTTCTCTTCCTCCTCCGTCCTTTTAATTTTTTCCAGAGTATTTTTTTAGTAAAGGATTACTCTAACGGCTAGAAATAATTAAACAGTAGGAAATGTTGAGGGAGTGCAGATGCCTTGCAAGATGATTTTTACTTATTGAACATTTTTCACATTCATTGCATCAAAAATTTTAACCTTGAATGTAACAGCAATAAAAACAAAAAAATCAACACATTGCCTTTTTTTTCCGTATTTTCATATTGTTCAGTATGTTATCTGCTTCTTGCCTTTTAGAATTTTTGCAAATTAGGGTTCACCTTATCAGTTCAGTTTATATTCCTTTTTATTTAATTTTTTTTTTTTACATATTTCTGGATCTGGTTGTTTGTTCTTTTTATTATTATTATTTTTTTGTAAGCTGTCTTTCCTGTGTTCCTCTCAGTATTTTTCTGCTCATTGTTATCTTTCTCCTGCTGTCTACACCTAAATCCTCCTCATGTGTTGCTCATTTCTCACCTGATTGCTCTTACCTGTTTACCTTTCCCCTTTTTCCACTTTTCCACTCCCAGTATTTCAGTAGCTGAATCATCACTGAGATTTTACATTTGTTTGCCTCCTGTCCATTTTTTTAACTCCTCACTTAGTTCTCATTAAAAGCTTTAAAACTCACCATGCTGCCCTTCAAAACATCACCCCATCCCTTTTATTTTAATATTTGGAGATGGAACAAAGTAGTACTCTACAATTGTCATTTACACAATTTTGTTTGACTTTTAGGTTAATAATAGAAGATTTGATCATTTTGTGCATTTACACAACCCATTTAATACTGATACTCCTCAATAAAACAATTTAACCTTGAATATCTTCTATTATATCTTGTTCTATTCTATTTGAAGCTAAATGCTGGTGAAGATTCTAAGTCATCAAGGTCATAGTGATTCCAAAAAAGTAAAAAACAAAACAAAAAAAAAACAATCAACTGGACGTTGTTTGCAAGTTTGAAGCCCTTTCGTTTCCCATCCAGGAAGATTTTTAATTCAAAATAAAATATGATCACTGTCTTTTGAGTTGAAAAAGCTTCCTGGATAGGAAGCAAAGCATCTTCAAACTTGGAAACAGCATCCAGTGGATTTTTTTTTTTTTTACTTTTTTGAAAGAAATATTTGAAGCTAACTATCTTAGTGTTTATACAACTGCTCTGTGATGGTATCAGGATATTTTTTAAGACCTAAAATCATGTTATGAGTGAAGCTGTGGGAAGGACGCAAATGCAAAAGTTGGAAGTTTGTAAATGATCACAGTCTTTTAGAAATTACCAAAAAATTATCAGGTTTAACATGGTGGAAGATGTTATAGCAAGGGGAGCTACTTAGGACAGGGAACAGTTATATTACAAAGAGAGCAGGAAGACTGCGGGAGGAAGACTAATTAGAACCGAGATGTCCTAAGAAAAAAAAAAAGATCAAAAACCACTTAGGAAGCTTAAGCGAAAATTGATTGTGGAAGATTATTTATCAGCCTCACTTGGAACACCTGCTGACATACAAACATGTAAGCTTCAGCCAATCGACTGCACCCCTTCTGAAGCCAATCATTATTAAAGACGTTCTTCATTAAGGCCCACTTCCCCATTTAGCGCATCAGCTAAACTTTCACCCATCTCTGCCCCATCTCCTCTCTCACTCCTTGGGCGTTTTCACACCTGATGGTCCGTCACACAGACACAGATCGATTAGGGACCAAAATGGAAACATTGTTACTATTTGGAATTCATAAGACCCTTTTTTAAACCAAAAGAAACCTTTTGACCCACCTGTTTACTCCCTCTCATGAGGTGGCTCTGCATCAAGAACCACCGTAGAAAAACCGTTGGTAAATAGCACAAAACTACTTATTTGTCTCGGAAAAGGAACAAATCATGGAAAAGTGACAGATTCCAGCAGTGTCATGTCGTTTTGCAAGTTTACCAGAGAAGTGTTTCAAGGCCTGAGTGGTCTGGCAGGTTGATACACTGACAACAAATCGGTTATGTATTGAGGTGCTGATCAATTCAGGGATTTATAGACTAACAGAAGGATTTTAAAGTCTTTTCTCTGAGTAACAGGGAGCCAGTGAAGGACTTCAAAACCTATGAAGACACTGATGCAGTAATCAATTCTACTAAAAATAATGATAATAAAATAATAAAATCTTTCTAATCGCTTCTTTTCTCCGTGTCAGTCTCTCTGGGTTGAGTTCAGTTGTAGATTGCCACGTCATACATGCGTCAGGATTCTGTTATGTCTGCGTGCAGCAGGGGGAGTTTGGTCATAGGGAGGTTCAGCAGGAATCCTAAACAGTCACTTTGTGTTATATATTTCCTCTGAGCTGTGGACGTCCTCATCTATTGGGTGCAGCCGAGCATGCCACCTATCAGCTGCAGTTAAATCCAACTCTCTGTCAGTTCCTATTGTGGTAACTTTTAGCTCTCCATATTTTTCAAGTCTTTTGATGTTTTCCAGCCTTATTTTACCTGATCTCATTGTTTAGGTTGAATCCTTTGTTCCATTGGTAATTCCTTCTGTGGGATCCTTTGAAGTAGTGTTTGACATATAAAGCTTGTTAAAGCTTTTGAAGCTTGTTTAAAAGTAAGGGTCATTTTATGTTGCACTTCAATACATTCCTTTACTGTATGTGCCTTAATTACGATAAATAAGCAGAATAACATGGAAATAGAATGTAAAAAACTGTTTAATTAGAATTCAAGCCTGGGAGGGTGCGTTGTAACAGTGTTAAGGAATATTTCAGAAGTCATGATTCATTTATATTCTCAAATGCAGAAAATATTTTTCATGCCTTTGTCTGCTGCTAACTTAATAAGTGTATTTCTTTATTTGCTGGTAGAAAATTCCCTCAGTGGTCTTCGTACAAAAACAAAAAAAATTGCAGCCAGAGTTTTTACAAGATTCCTTAAAAATCATCACATCCCTCCCCTTTCTTTCTCATTGCATTGCCTATCTGTGGCTTTCAATGTTTGCTTTAAAATCTTTGGTCTTCCTCCATCATTTCTCTCTGAGCTCCTATCTGCTCCACCACTTCTTGCAATCTTAGGTCAGAGCTTCCACATTGTGTATTTCTTTTCCTTTAGTAACACAGGCGTAGCCAGAAAATTTTTATAAGGGTGGCCAGGCAATAACCAGGGGTGGCCGAAAGTGGATCGGTGCCAGAACCTCACGGTCAATCTACACTGTTCCAACAGGAAAATTAATGAGCAAAACATCCATATTTTCAAAATAAAGACAAACTATACATTCCCACACCCATATATCTAAACATCTGAGCTTTATGGTCAAAAGGTATAGTGGATAAAATTCAACTTTTATCAGTAATCATTCTGCATAAAATTTATATTTACAAGTACTAAATTATCTACATAAATTGATTATTAAGTTTTTATTAAAATAGTTATTTATCTTTGATTTAACCGAAGGCTCCTGGATGACTTGAAGTGATGCATCATTTCTTCTTTACCCCATAAAAAAACAAAATCTAGCTCTGAAAAGAGCATGAATTCTGTATTTATCAACTTTAATGTTAGTATACTGATGTGCATAATTAACCGCAGTGTTTTTGCTATCAAGTAATTGTTCATATATGAAAATTAGATGAGATGAGATTACTTCTGTCACTATCTGTATTAGAGGGAAATAAATGGTAGAGTGGCTACAGGTGTGGCCAATGATTGGCTAAGGGTGGACATGGCCACCCCTGGACCCCCATCTAGCTCTACCCCTGTTTTGTAGACAGGTCCAGTTATTGTCTTACTTAAAATAAGTGTATATTTTATAACATGTGTTTTATGGTATTTTAATTTCTTCTTTAAATGCATTGATAGTTTTATCTAATTATTTTACATAGCTTATCTCTTATTTGATCTTAAATTTGACATATTTTGTTCATTCCCATTATTTAATTGTGCTTTTTCTTTCTTTAGATCTCGTTTTTACATAAATCTGTTTGTTTTTTTTATTGTTTATTATGTTCATTTTCTTAAACTTTAGGCTATTCTTAACCCTATATGACTCGTTTTTCCGAGGCATAATATAGTTGCGGCTCACTTGTTGTATAAACAACTTTACTGAACGCATCCAGACGCTGTAATGGCTTTAAAATAGATAGTTTATTACCCAAAACAGCCCGCTGTCTGTTTATTGCCCTCCCAACCTCATTTAAAGCCTCCTATGGTTGCTTTTATCGAAATGAACCAAATTGCTGAGCGTGTAACTAAATGAAACTAGTCAGAGAAATGCATTATGTGCAGGCGGCAACGTTTTGAAACGAAATAATAAAGCATTAAAGTGCAATCACATGAGTCATGACATTAAAAGCTACTTTTCCGCTTTTAATTGAGTGTTTTCATATACAACATCTCAATCGTTTTGAATCACATCCTGATGGATTCACGTTTTAAATATATCAAATAATGCATTTTTTCACTGGATATTTATTGTGATTAAATTATAATGGAATAAATGCATGTGCGCAGGTGTAATATTTGATTTCCATTTTTGCTTTTTTGTTATTGCATTTTTTTTCCTCCTTTTTTTTTCTCAACTCCGTCTCCAGGTCAGGCGGAAATATTTTTACATAATCTGCAGGGCTGCAGATTGCAAGAAAAATATCGAGATGGGCAAGAATTTGCATCAATCTCTAACTTTGATGTAGCAGAACTCGCTTCGCTTTCCTCCAATCATCTTTCTGCAGAGATGAGGAGCGCGCGCGTTCACGTGGCAGGTATAAACAGCTGCGGCGCGCTCTGAGCTGACAGAAGCCAGAATAGGCAGAGGAAATGAGAGGGGAGACAACTAAGGCAGAGGTTTGCACCTGTGTCTGGACATTTTCATAAAGCCGCAGGGATATTCTATAAATGCTGCAATTGAAAACTTTCTTCACCATGTTTGCAGCTTCTCTGATTTTAAGGACATGATAGAAGAAGAGTGTTGCCATGTCGCTGAATGAGACTGGAGCCCAGACACTGGCCCCAGAGCCATGTGAGCAGCAGATACTACAGGAAGAAAACAACTCTGGAAGTGGGAGTGGGAGTTCCACCAGCAACCTGTCCCTACATTGCTGGCTGCAGCTCCTTACCAGGGAATCTATTGTGGAATTACAAGGAGACAGCTCCAGTTTTGTGGTGCGTGTGATGATAGCGTGTGTGTACTCTATAGTCTGTGCTCTTGGGTTGGTGGGGAACTCACTGGCTCTATATCTGCTCCATTCCCGCCACAGGCAGAAGCAGTCATCCATAAACTGTTTTGTGATGGGGCTGGCAATCACAGACCTGCAGTTTGTTCTGACTTTACCCTTCTGGGCCGTGGACACAGCACTGGACTTCCGCTGGCCTTTTGGCCGGGTCATGTGTAAAATCATTAGCTCTGTCACCACCATGAACATGTATGCCAGTGTGTTTTTTCTAACAGCAATGAGTGTGGCAAGGTATTACTCCATCTCCACTGCTCTGAAGATGCACAGTCGGAGGACAGCTGCAGCCAGGGCTAAGTGGACCAGCCTTGGGATCTGGGCTGTCTCTCTGCTGGCTACTTTACCCCATGCCATCTACTCCACCAGTGCTGAGGTGTCGGATGAGGAGCTCTGCCTGGTCCGCTTTCCAGACTCGGGCAGCTGGGATCCACAGCTCCTTTTGGGTTTGTACCAACTGCAGAAGGTCCTCCTGGGGTTCCTTATTCCTCTAATCATCATTACTGTCTGTTACCTGCTGTTGCTGCGGGTCATCCTCAGTCGTCGCATTACAGGAGCAGCAGATCCAGAGGTCACCCAAGGCCGTTTGAACCGGCGCTCCAAAGTCACCAAATCCATTGCCATAGTGGTTTTGTCTTTCTTTCTTTGCTGGCTACCCAATCAGGCTCTGACACTCTGGGGGGTTCTCATAAAGTTTGACCTTGTTCCATTTAGCAAGGCGTTCTACAACGTCCAGGCCTACGCCTTCCCCCTTACCGTGTGCCTGGCGCACACCAACAGCTGTCTCAACCCTGTGCTCTACTGTCTGGTTCGCCAGGAGTTTAGAGCAGGGCTCAAGGAGCTTCTTCTCCGTGCTACCCCATCCTTCAGGAGCTTGACTCATCTTCTGCGTCGCAAGACTAAAGTGGCTGAGGCGCCACCCGTTCTGGTGTTGGTCCAGATGGATGTCTGAGCGTGATGAGGGGCATACACTGTGACAAAGAAACTACAGGAAAGAATGACTCAGAGACTGTACTCTGTGTATTGATGTGGAGCAGTTTTCTGAGGTATTGAATTTATTCCAGCTTTTCCAAAATAAATAAAAAAATCAAATTTCTCTGGTTTTTGAAAACAACATAATCACAGTGGATAATGCTGAGGGATCTGTACCAATTTCACTGCATCCACAAAGACTAGTTCTGCTTCTAGCCTTTGTTGTCCTGGTAGCTCTTCCTTTTATTCTATCTGAGAGAGAGCCCTGCTTTTTGGTAAGGAAGATACACAGGCAACAATCTGAAAAAAGGGGGTTTTTCTTTCTCAAGATTGTCTCTTAGTGTTGTTCAGTCCAAATCTAAGGCATGTAATAATAAAAAAAGGGAAAAAGTTAGCCTTTTATGTGTGGAAAAATCGCCTTTAAATACAAGGAAGAGAAACCAAAAATTCAGTGAATATGTGTTTAATTAAGTAAAATGTCAATGTATTTTATTTTTTATAGGTGTAAATGATACATCAGTAATTGTTTATTGTATTCTGTGTGAAAAATATACTCAATAATAAATGAATGAATAAATAAATGAAGAGCCTTGAAAATCCTCCACATAATTAGGCCTTGGCAAAATAAGTGTACAGCTGTAAGGATACATGTTTTCCACAAGGACCAGAAGTCCTTGAATTTCCTACAAGATTTGTGTCAGTACATCTAATCGTGCAGCATTATTATAAGCCGAGCACGTACGCAGTGTGGATTACACAGGAATAAAAAAAAAATAAAAAACTGCTACTCATTTTAGCACTCCCACTTACTTCCAATGACGGCCACACTCAACATGGTGTTTTCTCACGGTGGCAGTATCTTCAGATTGAACATGAATAATTTAGATTTTTGCATCAAACTTGCATAATTTTTAAACCAGGCCATTCACTGAGATAGATTAGATTTTTTGTATTTTTCTGAACAGTTTGCTGATATGACAACAGCATTTGGTTCTCTGGAAAATAATGCAGTTATGCACATGTGAGAAATTATTCTGTTTTATTAATTTCTTTAAAAAAGGGAATCTTAATTATTTCAATTATTGGCTGATAGTGGAAATAAAATTGGAAATGAAATCTTAAAGGCAGGTCACACTGGCAGGAGTGCAAAAACAACACTGATGCTTGTGTCTTTAATCTCCCATTAAGCAGACTTAATTTTTCTCATTCTGTGTTTGCACCATAGCTCTTCAGTCAATATCCGCATCAAAAGTAATCCAGGAACAGAGACGTGTGGTTTAAATTTTTATCACACAAAAGAAAGCTTTTCTTCTCTCATTGTGATGAGATGAGGTGAAAGAATTTGATATTTTCGATTTCATGTCACTGGCTCCCATGCCAAAAAGCATTTGAAAATATTGTTCAAATTTACAGTGATTTTAAGTACTCTCACATACTCCTGGTGTGGTAAACTTCCTATACTTTTACCATAAACGATTATGAGCTAGATGACACTGCTGGGAAATATAGCTTTGATTTTAGTGCTACCAAAACTGTGCTTATTGATGCAATTTTTGTATGCCAGCTTGTGTTTTTTATTTTATTTTATTCCTACTAAAATGTAATAATGGACAAACTGCTCTGTGTTTTTTTTTTTTCTTTTTTGTAATGGCTTTCACAGCCAGCAGATAAATCTGGGTATAAATAATGCATGTGTTGTCTTTATTCATGAATTATTATTGATATAATAATAAAGAACTCCGGCTTTAAAAAACTCCATGCAAGTTGAAGAGACAGTGGTTGTCACTTTGTTGATGGTAAATCAGGATTAGAGTATGTATATAAACAAGATGCCTTTATAATAAATCTAGTATTTAGACTTGCTGTTGGCCCAGTTGTCATTCAAAAAGAATTTTCCGTTATGTACTGAGAAGAATATCCTTTCTGTGTGGAGGTCATATTCTCACTATAAAATGATCCCCGCCCATAAACATGCAGTTTAACAGGTAATAAACGCATAGACAAGGACTGAGCAGGAGTGTCTTTCCAGGATACATTCAAATATTTTCATTTTCTTTGTACTGAAAGAATAATGAAATAAACAAGTTTGGCATACCAGCAATATATTGCCAGTATTACCATAGGAATCGACTGTTTATGGAGCAACTGGAAGGGAGGTAACATCACAATTAACATTCCAAATAAACATCCTTTTAAGGGACATTTCTTTAGGTTGGCTATAATCACCTTTGGAATATGATATGCCCTCTGTCAGTATATTCATCTTATGCATTGTGGCCTGTAGCATCACAGATCTTTTTCACATATTGAGCTTTTGCAGCAGGGGTTTGTTATTATCCATTTGGTCTTTTTTTTACCTATCTTTAATCTTAAAGCTACAGTGTGTAATAATTACAGGGATATACAGTCAGAAATGTAATATATTATACATAACTATGTTATTTATCATCATCTACGAGCTCAGCCTCTTAACCTTAATATTTGCGTTGCCTTAGAATTCGTTATTTATAATTACATAGGAGAGGGTCTCGCAGCCATGGAGGCAGACATCTTTGCGCTACGGCAGCGCAGAGCCAACAAACTAGCGATTGCGAGATCGCCAAAACGTCACAACGATGTAGAAAAAATAACGGGTATATTTATTATCTTAAGTCTACATGAAATCTATACCCTACACAGACTAATGAAGTACTATCTGTAAAATTATCTATGTAAACAAACCTCATAACTTGAGAAGGTAGGTGATGCGGACGTCGTGGAAGACATTTTGTCCCGTAACGCTTGCCGAACTGTTGGGGGGGAGAAGCGGTGGGGGGGAGATGTTCATGTTGCTGCAGTCTGCAGTCTGACCGCTAGATGTCGCTGAAAGTTACACACTGTAGCTTTAATTGAATTTGGTTCTATCAATTTAAGTGTCCAATTCTTGTCTAATAATTTGTCACCTGCTTTTTGTTGCACTTCTTTTTGTACTACTGGGGACCAGAATCCCCTGTTTAGCATCCATGAATCCCCTTCACCCCTGTATATAGGGAACTGTAAGTGACTATATACAGTATGTAGGTAATTGGCCTTTTATCACTTCTTCATCAGCTTTGTATTTATTTTCTGTCAACCTTCTCACCTTCTGTAGGTTTTTGGATTTTAATGAGATTCTATCTTACAACATTTTTTGCTTGTGGCTTATTATTACTTTCTCTTTACACATTGATCATCAATATAACATATATTTTCAGCAAGCACACAGTTCCACTTAAAATATTGGGATTGTAGTTTAGTAAACTATAATTATGGGAAAGTAAAACAGAAGAGGTATTTTTTTTTTAAATATCACTTTCAAATAACTGATTTAGACACAACAATTTTTGTCTAATTTACCAGAATGCTTTTTAATTTTCTTCACTGTGAGATTATGCTACTGTACATGCTCAGTGTGAAGTATTGCTGCGATCAGCAACAAAACATGAACAAATGTCTTTTGTCGCCGCACATTCATCCAGGGGGAGCGAATCCTATATAATCCTTGATGCAATCAGCTGCATTTCCAAAGAAAAGAAATACTTTTAACCAGTCTGACTGTGATTTCATTAAACTTTATATGTAAAGTGCCTTGTAATGGCATGTGTTGTGAATTTCTGCTTTATGAATAAACAATACTGATTTGAATTTCAAACAGTCGGTATGCCAAGCTTAAAGAAATGAATAGAAGCATAGAATTAGGTGATGTTATTGAGATTAATGAAATGTTGTTGGGACCTTTGAATAGAACTCTAAAAGAAAACTTTTAGTATTGGGTTATGAATAAACCTAATAAAAGAATAAGTGATAACATAATTAGCAGTATAATATAGAATTCAGAGGTTTTCACAAAAACATATGAAACAAAGAGTTTAGTTAATTTGTTTTGCAGTTTGATTATAAAATAAAGATTCAGCAGATTGCATGTTGGATGCAGGAAGGGTTTCTGAAACTTATTGGAAGTAATTGCTTCCTTTTACTTCACCTGTGGTTCAAGGAGCATAAAATTTTAAACATAAATTGTGAGCTGATTCATTATTGCTGATATGATTCTGCTCATACAGCCAGGTTTGTGCATTGCATTATACATCAAACTATTTATAACCTGCTTCATCTCACTCTTGACTTGTTCTGTCCCTCGATTAACAGGTATTTGAAATACAATAATCTAACACCATTTATCATTTCTTAACCTTTTTTGTCATTTGTTAAAATCACAGTTTATGCATTATTTGCACCCTAATCATGTTTATACTCTGCCTTGCAAATCAGGGGAAATAAAGATTTGCCACGGCTTGCTGGAAAACAACCAAAAGATCCCTAATGAATTCCAAACATGCAAAGTTCATAAAAATAGCAACAAAAAAAAGATTGCATGCATCACAGAGAGAACGTACTTCTTATTCCACAAAACGTGCAGCCTGCTTATTTATCCTGCTTGAGACTCAGCTAACTATTGATGTCCAGGATGATCAAAGACATACCAACAATATTACTAGCCACTCTCCTCTAAGCATGCAGCTCACTTGGGAAACACAATGATGCTTTCGAGGATTTTTATTCTTTAATGAATCCTGCAGGGATGCAATATTTATGGATCAACTGAGGAAATATTGTGTAGTTTATGAAAAAGTTATAAACTTTTAGCAACTAAAACAACCTTTAAACCTTTACAGCAAAAAATTCAAACGTCCTTCACAAAGGACACATAAATAAAGTGATTTAAAGGAGAGCCTAGGAAGTGGTACCAGGAGGTAGTGAACAACTACGTTGATCCTTCATATTTCTGTAAGAAAAAAAAGAAAAAAGCATAGCAAAAAAGGCAAGGTTTCTAGCACCTTCAAAGTATCCATTTATGTATTGCTGACCTGTTCTCCTTAAAAACGGTGCCACCCCTCTAAGAAAGATATGTGGTGATGATGAATAAGCAAGTTAATGGATTTTTAACTGAGAGCAGGCAGATTAATCAGCATGCACTTACTGTAAGTACCATTCATGTCAGGCTGTTTGATCAATACTTATTTAAATTCCTTCTGTGACAGGAAGTAGTAGTAGAGGTTATGCCGCACCCTTGGTTGTGACCTTTTACTAAGGACTAATGATAGCCTAACAACACTTGAATCTCTAGAATATTTAATTGCCTCTCATTAGCGATACCCAAGCTCGAAGGCAGAATGAGAGCTGACAATTTCAACCATGGGTTTGGCAGCTTCTGAAAGGTAAAGGATGTATTGAACCTTCTCTGGTTCAGATCTTATCCAGGCAGGGTAAAAGTAAGTAAAGGTCAGACAAAACTTCATCACTATAGAACCTTTCCACATGCAGCCAAAAAACACATTGGTCAATGCAACCAAAAGATTGGTTCAATTTTATCAATTCAACCAGTTATGTATCCAACAAATAATTTGGTTAAAACAAGCAATGTAATATGTTAGTGTTTTCCATCTATTGTTAAAAGGGAAAGAACTAAACAAATTAGTCACTTTGACCCCAAATTTTTTAAATTAGTGTAACAATATTGCAAGTCAGAAGCAAGGCTTGATCCACCAACCCTTTGGTTGCAGGGCAAACTCCTACATCCAACACCACTGTCCCCTCTAATTGCTTCTTGGTATTTACTAATTATACTAATGTTACAACCAAGGTCAAAGCCAAGATTTGCATGTCGTACATGTACACATCACTGCAATTGTCCTCTAGGTCCATAACTATTATACAATGCACTTCACTACAGCCAAACAGTAAGAGAAGTAAAATGTCAGTTACCGTTTTTACTGATTGTTCGGTTAACCAGTTTAATTAGTTGATCCTATAACTGAGAAGTTCCCTTAACCTTCAGTTTTGAGCCCTGCACGTATCACAACTATAAAGACTTGGTTGTATGACCTTAAGGACTAGTGAGGGACATACAGATGTAAAAGTATTAATATCGGTGGTCATAACAGCCAGGAAATCTCAACTTGCCGTAATTTGACATTTTCTGTTTATTTTTATAATCCAGTATTACTGATCCTATGTCATGATCTTGGCACTGATGGGTGGCCTAATTGCTCATTTCATTTACCTGTGTCTAATTCTCCCTGGTTGCTCATTACCGCTTATTTGACCCACCTGCTTCTGCCTCTATTTAAGGTACTTGCATCCAGCTATCAGAGCCAGATTATCTCATTCTCTCATCCTGAACTGATCTGTATCTCATCCACAGAGTGTGCCTCTTACCATCTGAACATTCTGCCTGAACTGTCTGTGGACTCCTGGAACCCTGAGCCAGCCTGTTCTTGTTCTGATCTGTATGCCTGGATAGAATTTGGACTCCCATCCAGGGATCTTTCTGTATATGTTCTGTTTACAGGGATCTGTTTACAGGGAGCCTTCCTTTGTTTCCATGACCTGGTTCAGACTTCTGCTTCTCCTCTGGGGCTGCAGAATCTGGGACTGGGCGGGGTCCGCCACATCTTGTTGGCAGCCAACCAGATGGACTCACTTTGTTCTCGAGCGATGGACTGAACTGTTAAACCCGGTTAGTGACTCACATGGCTAATTAACCTCCATTAGATTATCATGGTCACTAACCCGTGTTTTTCTCAAATAGAGTTTCAAGTGATAGATGTTTTAGCCGCTGATACCGTGGATCTACAGCCCGCTCTACTCAAATAA